TATGTTCTTTTAAAGCTATTTATAGTAATGTTTCCTTTGTCTTAGGGGAGGGCGTGTGTGTGTATGTATAAGCCATGGACACAGTGGAGTTTGAGGCTATTACAAGTGACCATTTATGCGGCAATCTCCTTCTTGCCTTCTGACCCTTGTCCTCCCCCTTCCAGTAAGGATAATTGCATCATGGTTCTCCCTGGCACGCATTACACACCAAGTGTTCGCCTATATTTAGCCAACATGAAGTCACTGAAATTCTATGCCCACTAGATGCAATTAGTGCTTTGTTATTTATTGCTCACACAGCTTATATCCTGAATGTCCTGCATAGTTTGTGTCCTTAGATAAATTTAAAAGGACTGAAAAATCTTTTGCTGCTGGGAAAATTGCTTGGGAGTAGCAAGTTAATTGATCCATTGACAGGTGCCCTGAGGAAAATACTTGGATGTCTCCTGCGAGCCAGAGAGACCTCAGTCATCCTCCTCTTGGACGGCTGGGGGAGGAGCAGGGTGAGCAGGCTGGCAATGGAGGGATTATCTATGTTCTACTCAACTGGTAAAAGCAGCACTTCTGATCAGTGGCTCCCAATAATGGTCCCAACTCCACTTTTTTCCAGTAATCAGAAATGATACATGGGACGCAAAAACAGAGCAGCGCAGCAGGGCTGACTCTACAAGTGGACAAGGGGTGGGGATGCCCACAGGTGTGGTGCAGAGGTTCACCCTGTTGGCTGTTGCCTCATTTTTACTCTGGGAGCCTTCTTCCTCTAGTTTAAGGCTATGAAGTGTATTTGTGGGGTGGGGGGAGGGGTGGTAGAGAAGAGGGGGGAGTGGAAAGGTGGAGGTAGCCTTAAAAAGGGGGGGGGGGCATCGGGAATATTAAGGTCCCAATTCTCAAATTGTTGTTTTTCAAATTTTTTCCTCACTTTGGCTGACAAAGACTTACTCCTATTAGAGAACTCAGTTTTGTTTTATTTAACAAACAAAATAACTTCAGGGGAGCAGGCAAAGAATAGGGAAAACAGCAGTGAAAATATTTCTAAAGTAGATAAGGTATTCATAAAAACATTACATTCTAGGTAACATATTCCTGAGGCCACAGGTTCTGTACAAAATTTAGAGGTCAATTGTCACTGCCTCATACCCTCAAACATTACCATTCTTTTTTTCTTTATGTCTTGTTTTTTCACTTAAGACTTTTGTTCCACTCCTAAAAATAGTTATTTTTATGTTAAAATATATAAAAACTAGAGGCCCAATGCATGAATTCGTACATGGATGGGTTCTCTCGGGGTGGCCTGCAGGGATCAGGCCCCAGCTCATGCCACCAACCTCACAGCCCTGTCTGGCACCCTGCCTGGCACCCCTCTGTGGCCTGGCACTGCCCCCTCACCTGCTCTACCATCTCGCGTATGGGGTGATCGATTGGGGCCAGTCCATCCCTTCCCCTCCCAACCCAGCTCCCTCAGCACCTGGGAGCTGGGTGGTGGCCCCACCTTCAGGCGCCACTATTGGTTGCCAATGCCCACCACATTCTGTGCTTCGCCCCTAGTGATTAGCACACATCATAGTGAGTGGTCAAATTCTCCCAGTCAAACAATTTGCATATTAGGCTTTTATTATATAGGATAGGATAGGTTTTAAAAGAATCTTAAACTCTTCTGAAAAACATTTTTGAAACTATTATTTCTTACACCACAGATTATGTTAAAAATGAGTAAATATTCAGCAAAGCATCAACAAACCTTGTTTCTGATGTTTTAAATATTAATTCACTCATTAATTTAATGAATATTTATTGAGTACCCATTGTGAATAATAGTATTGTACATTTTATTTGTGTTATCACTTTATCTTTTAAGTAATCATAATATCTGTAGTTTCACTAACACACGTTTCCAGCATCATTCTTCCTCACTTGCAATATCGATTTGGTGAAGTTATTAAAAATTATCGTTGGACAACATTAAAAATAAAATAAGCAGACATTTAAGCTCAACTCCCTCCCAGGGCAATCTGAAGTGGCCTCGGCTATTAATGGAACATCATTTTATCCCCATGGGTTGTGACGAAGAGGTCACATAATTTACCAGCACACATTTTTCTTCTCCCACAAAAGAAGTAAGGGAGACCAGGTGAATTTATTTCAGGGGAAACATTGAGTCAACTCAGACTTAATAAAAAGTACTCTATTATTAGTAACAAGACTTTAGTACTCTATTATTAGTAACAAGTTAATTTCCACATAACTCACATTCTAAGGAAAATAGCTGTGTTGGGCAGTAACCATCAACACCTCAGTGTGAATGAAGACTTGACAGTGGAGTCTAGGAGATGAAGTGAGGTAAAGAGGAGAGAACAGTGGATACTTACAATAGGGAGGGGCACCCTGGGGGAAAATTACCTCTAACTTTTTAGTTTTGCACAGGAAATAATCTCCCTAGATCCTAGTCCTACTTTCCCCAAAATTATACAAACCGAGTTCTTTACTAATTGCAATGATTAACTCTACTAATTACAATGATAGAAAAGGAAAGTCTTCTGACAGCTTTATATGTTGACAGTCATGATCATGACCATTTATGGTAAATTTTTAAATGCATTAAAATGGTGGTAGTGAGGTTGAAAGTAAATATTGTTGCTATAGTTTTAAAATATAAGTAAATAAAAATAATAATTCCAATAATACAACAGTTAAAATAAGCCATAATAGAATTGACAATGGCTTTTACTATTGTATGTATACTAAAGCCCAGTGCACAGATTCAGGCACTGGTGGGGTCCCTAGGTGTGGCCTGCTGGGATCGGGCTGAAACCAGGATCCAACATACCCCAAGAGATGTAGTAGTGCACAAAGTGGAAGGCGGTGGGGAAGGAGCCCAAGCCGGGCACAGCGCTGCTCCTGCTCATCCTGGCCCCTCTGTGCCTACTGCCACTGCCATTCTGCAGCAGCCTCCACGCGCCTGTCCTAGGGTTATACTGGCGCACCCATGACCAAGAAGCTGCTGTGGGCTTGCACCCAATCAGTCCCAATGCTGGTCCTGATCCTGATCTCAGTCCCAGTCTGGATGGGGGAGGGGTACACAGGAGGAGTGTCTGCGGAATGCTCACACTGCCGCAGGTGCGTTCACCAGCCATGAGCTTGGTGTCTGGCGCCTGTGGATCAGCTGAGCCTGCAGAGACCACCAAAGGCAGCTCCTGCATTGAGCATCTTGGCTGCAGACAGCAAGGGGCCCAGCTCATCTGGCTTGTCTGCTCTTGCAGCGGCTTTCAGATATGAGACATTGAGCTAAAAAGACATTCCAGGTCAGACCCCATTTGTTTGGAAGACAACCTCAAGCCCAGCTCTGCTAAAGGTCACTGCCTACAGGGCAAGGCTTTGCCAATGACCAGACCTGCCATCCAGATACAATCTGAATGGAAACCAAGAGGAAGGTATAAAAAGCAAAATCAGTATAATCCTAATGGCTTTAGGTATCATGTGGGTCAGGGGTTTTGTAAATCTGGCCTGCATATAGCCAAGGGCATGGGAAGTATTATAATACTATTACTACCACTACTACTATAACGATGATGATGATTGTTATTACTAGAGGCCTGGTGTATGAAAATCATGGTACGGGTCCTTCCGCCTGGCCTGCCCCCTCTCACAATCCAGGAGTTCTTAGGGGCGGGAGGAAACCTGGCAATCAGGGGAAGGTGACACCCCATCACACCTCTGCTGCTGCCACTGCTGACAGTGCAAGCCTTGGCTGGCCTGAGGTGTAGGCAAGCCTCAGTTGGCCCTGAGCAGCTGCCATCTGAGGCTTGCCTACACCTTGGGCCGGCCCTGGGGGGCTGAGGAGACTGGGGGACTCTGGAGGCAGGTAGGCCTGGCCTTGCTGTGCACCTGCCACTAGGCAGGACTAAAAGGGCTGGGTGCCACCATCCTTGCAACAGAGTGAGAATCAATTAGCATATTCCCTCTTTATTAGATAGGATTGGTAATATTCAGAGGTGGGCAAAAGCAAAAGTAGGCATACAGTTCTGAGTATGAGAAACAGTTTATTATATTATTATTATTATTATTATTATTATTATTATTATTTTTAAACTATATTATTTTCCATATGAATAACTGTGAACCTATTTTTGCCAACCCTTGGAACAGATACATTTTAATTTAATGGCCTTGCATTTGTTTCAATATGAATAGACAAATAACTAGCACATAAACGTCATGTTTTCACATATGTGATTTTGTTTTAGGATGAGCCTGCAGTAAGCGTTGAGGTTTTAAATGACTTCATTTAAAGAACGAAGGAATGCAGGTGCTATTTGAATATGACAAAAATTGTGACTGAGGTATACAATTGACTGAAGTTTGGAAAACACTGATATAGTCCATTTTGTATAATGTGGAGGTGGGCACCAGCCCTGGAAAGAAATTCATTTTACAATGCTTGCCTACCCACGCGTACACATACATTTATGCAGTTACAACAAAGAGCTTGAGAAACAATATTTACTCCTGTTTGTGCAAGGCACTCTGAATCCTCGATTCATGTTTGACTCCCTCTTTCTCTTTCTTTCCTCTCATGTTTGATTGTCTTTAAGTTTTTCCTGTCAGTTCTGCTTCTAAAGGCTCTTTATTGATCTCTTTTTCCATCTCCAGTGCTTCATTCCTGGTCTATGTCCCCATTACCTTTCACCTGGACTATATCTTAACCACCTCCTTGCCTCCAATCCAATGCTTTTCCTTCAATCCACCCTCCACAACTGTTGCCAAAAAGGTTATTCAAAAACTCTGATCCGACCCTGTCATGCCCCAGTGCACAGGATAAAGTCCAAGCTACTAAACAAAGCTTTAAAGGCAGTTGGTTGTTTGTCTCTGCCAATGCTTCCAAATTCCAAAACTGGAAAATCAGGACTAGATACTCAGGTTTCTTGATCCTCAAATCTAGTGCTCTTCTCAACACACCATGCTGCCTTCTTAAAGACTCTCTCCCTGTTGTTTTCATTCTACAGATGATACCTGCATAAGTAATGTCTACTCTCCTGGTACAGGGAGTTTTGAATAAATCCTGTCATGAGACAAGCGGAATGTCCATAAAGCAGACCTGACATGAACACATAATGTCATAAGTGGAGGGTATAACTTGAAAGAGGAGTGAATTAAAGGTGTTATGCAATACTGAATTCTTGTTGGCGACCACCAATATACCTAAGGATTATCTAGGCCCGTGGTAGCCAAACAGTGGTCCGTGAGATCCGAAAGGTTGGCGACCGCTGATCTAGACCACCCTCACTTTGCAATTCTCCCACAGGAAGCAGATCTCTCTTGTGAGCAGACAATGACCCTCTGGTTAAATTCCAGTCTGGATCAACTAGAGTAAGCAGGGTATATCCCACTCCCCGCCCTCCACCCCCATTGATGTTGGACTTGTCTCAGCCAATGGAATATTAGCTGACATGACACACAAGCAGAAGCTTCAAATGTATTTGCCTGTTTTGACTTGGCCTCTTGAACGGTTTCCACCCTCTGCCAGAAGAGTATGCCTCAGGTAGTCACTTGCCTTTCATCTCGGTCCAGAAATGAAACCTCGTGGAGCAGACCTGTACTTGACCCTGAGCCTGGGGTCCAGATGAGCTCAGCTAATCCAGCTGAGCCTAACTAAGGTCAGAGCAAGGCTGACCTGCAGCTCCATTAGCAAGAAAATGAAATGTTTATTGTCCCCAGCTACAGAGATTTGCAACACAGCCAGAACTGTCTAACCCCCCCCCCTCCCCCAAATAAAGTGGGTTTTGTTTTGTTTTTGTTTTAACAAGTTAAAAATCAACTCTCAGTTGTTCTTTTGTGGATCATCTACAGGAGGGAAAGCAGTAACACACTGTTGATCTAGCCCCCAGCACATTTCTGGGGCAGCTCCCAGCATGGGGGTTGCGTAATGCAGAGAGCTTTGCAGCCTCATTCTCACATTAGTCTGACAAGAAAGTAAATTAGGACTGTTGTTACACTCCTGCCCTCCCTCCCCACTAAGCCACAGTGAAGCCCAAAGGACAACAGAAAATCTGGTGGCCCTTGGTGATTAGAATATCCATGCCACTGCCTTCCCCCCATAAAAAAAAAAAAAAAAAAAAAAAAAAAAAAATCCTGAGAGTTGTTTTTATCAAGGGCCTACAGCGTTGCAATCTTGTCCCCACCCAGCTTGAGCTATAATTTTTTTTTTTTTTCTAGCGGGAGTTTATGGTGCCCAAGTCCTTTTATAAAAGCAATGTTCCCAGGAGGAAGCCAGCAGGGTTAATGCCACAGCGCCCCGTGGCCTGGATAACAGAGACCTCGTTTTCCCCTAGCAGAGGTCGCAGAGGAGTTTTCTCTCCACTCCGTTTAGCCTCCTCTGTATTCTCCCACCCTCCGGGCATCTTCCCAGCTCGCACCCGTTTTCTCCAGTTCATTCCAGCTTGCCAAGGCCCGCTTTCCCGCAGCCCGGAGCCTCTGCGCCGTTGCGGACGCTCTCCTCCAGGTGGCAGTAGAGAGCCACTCCCTGCCCAGCCGCTTACGTCACCTTGTTTACCAAGTCCCGGTCATTTTTAGATCTAAGATCACAGGATGTTAATTGGGCCAATGATTTCCCATTCGTTTTGGCAAAAGGCCCTCCAGTGGGCGTCGGGACAAACATGCTGTCCTTCTTGACAATGAAATTCTGCCGCGGGGAGTATTTATTTACCAACCCTTGGAATCTCATCTTTAGGAGATGGGAAAGCTACGCGTTGCTCTGTGCGCTGAGCTTGTTTCAAGTCATTTTAGATTCGGAGCCCGGACAAGGGTGGCGTTAACTAGGGAGCGAGGAGATCAGAGAGATTACAATGGTGTCTGGGAAGCATGGCCAGCGCCGCTTGGGCCCTCCGGGTGGCCTGGCTTTTTACTTCCCCTTCCCTCTTCTAAAATAACTACTCAGCAGGAAAGCCTTTGCCCTTTGGAACTTGGAGGAATAAGGAAAACAGCTGATTTGGTCAATCAGTGTCCTGATTTATGGTAGGGACACATTGAGGCCCCTGCCTCAGATGCCCTCGCCCAGGAATTGGATCTGAATGTCTCATCGCCATAAATCACACGTTTCACAGGCTGGAACTTTTCGTCCCAACAGCAAGCTCCACTTCTTTCTTACTCCTTTTTTATTACTCCCACTCCCGGCTACTGATGAGGAAAGGTGAGGCACAGAGGAGCTAACTGTCCTAGCTGGAACTCTCTCATCTCCAGGCCCTGTGTCATTTTTGCAGAAGTGAAAAAAACATCAAAGGCACCGGGCCAGCTTTGGCAGGCAGGGGGTGAAAGGGGCTGGGAGTGTATCTGTGACTGTTCAAAAAGCAAGATAAACAAATACAATTCCTCAGCTATGCGCTCGTTTACAAGATGAGGGTAGAAGCATCTATGCTAAGGAGAAGAAAGATAGAAAGTCATCTGTGAATCATGTTAAAAAATAAACGAGACTCCAAGTTTCTTAAGTGCTGGTTCCTCCCTGTCTACCTCCCATGTCATCCTTTTACACACTCCTGCCGCAGCTGCCAGTTCAAAACCAACTCCCAGAGAAGGCCAAGTCCCTCTCCCTCAAGCAGTGTGCAGCCCACTGAAGTGATCACGCTGGTCTGGAGAAACACAGTTTTCATGCAGGCAGGAAGGGATAGAAAATTCAATTCAGTTAGTTTCAACAACATTCTCTTGAGCTCCTAATCTGTATCAATGACTCAGGCAATATCGATAATAAAAACATGGAAAAATTGCCAAAACCGGTTTGGCTCAGTGGATACAGCGTTGGCCTGTGGATTGAAAGATCCCAGGTTCGATTCCAGTCAAGGGCATGTGCCTTGGTTGTGGGCGCATCCCCAGTAGGGGGTGTGCAAGAGGCAGTTGGTCGATGTCTCTCTCTCATCGATGTTTCTAGCTCTCTATCTCTCTCCCTTCCTCTCCGTAAAAAAAAAAAAAAAAAAAAAAAAACAAAAACAAAAAATAAAAAAAAAACAAAAAAAAAAAAAAAGGGAAAATACAATTCTACACCACTGTGGAACTTGGAGTCCAGTAGAGTTTTCGTAGGGAGTTTTAATTCCTTTGGGAAGCACGCAATGAAAGAAGGTTTGAAAGAGATGCTATAATAGAAAGGGAGGATGCCAGGTAAATGGCTCGGAAAAGCATTCCTCCACTTTGGCATCTATTTAGGAGTGGATTGGGGACAAGGCCTGGCAACATGGCAGAGGTGCTTGGTAGAGAGAACAGGAGCCTCACATGCTAAGCTTTTAAGAGGCTGATAGAGGAAGCCTCTTGTTCAGGGTGCATCAAAGGGCAGGGATTTGGAGCCAGTCAACAAGAACCATCAAGTTCTTCAAAGAAAGAGCCAGAGTAGGGAGCATTCAGTGTATATATCGCTGCCTTCAGGTGTACATTCTGTACAAGCATTAGGCCCAGCCTCAGAAGAAATATATGAGTAGGAAGAGATAAGATCCACTTATCACCAGTAAAATCACCTTTTCAAATGCCTTTTGTCAAGAACCTGTTGATAATTTAGATCCATCTAGTCACAGGAAAGACCAAATGGAGGGAAAGCAATGAAATAGTTTTATTTTTTTTATGGTTATGTGAAATTTAGAAAATATTCTTTAAAACATTTAAAACTGTTAGATATTAAGCAAATGCAGACAACAGCATGAAACAAATGTACAGTTTAATAAAATATAAGGCCAACACTCTAGTAACCTTGCAGCTACCCACAAAGTGAGCTAGAACCATGTCAACAATATCAAGAACCTTTAAAGCCACAATTTAACTACTGCAGGCTCTTAGGAGTGACTTGATGGGTCCTTTACAGGATATTCTGAGACCTCAAGGAAAAAAAGGTCCCTTCAATCATCAATCAAGCAATCTATACTGAGTGCATATAATAGAGCTGCATATAAATTTGAAGACTTTGTCCCTATACATTGACCTGAAGAAGGTGAGAAAGGAAAGGAACCAGTATTTATTGAGTGCCTACTATATGCTAAGTGTGCTATCTAAATGAGAAAAATCAAGGACTAATACTTACTATAACTCTGTGAGGTTGGTGTTATGATCATAGCTCTTGTTAGGTAACCCGCTTTACAGATGAGGAAACTGATGCAGAGAGAGGTGAAATGACTTGCCCAGAGTCATGTGGCAAATAAGAGGCAGTTGGCACTTGAACTCAGCCAGCCTGGCTCCAGAGCCCCCTTCTCCACCCTAAATAGTAAGCTAGTTAGTATGCTGGATACTTCTATTTGCCCTTCTAGATCTACGCCCCACCCTTTTCTATCCACAACATGCAAACTGTATCAACAGGCTCCCTTGCCCTTTGGTTGGGTTTAGCCAGTGGAAGCCCTGGGCAGGAGATCAGAGGGAAGAAAAGTATGAGGGAGACCTGGGAGAAGGAGGGGGTGAGAAGAGGCCACCTCCGGTCTGGCTGCATCTCTTGACTCATGGCCACAGCTCTTGTCAGGTGGTGAACCACACAGGGCCCACTCTCTGGGTCCTGGTGTTCACACCTTCCCTGCCCCTTCAAGCCCAGGGGTGGTCAAGTAGCTGTTACTTATTGCACTACTTCTGTGGTTTCCCTGCATCCTGCCCACACCTTTGTAAATAGTCCCTCTATTCCACTCTCCTCCAATTACTCAATTTGAGTGTGCCATCTGTTTCCTGCCCGGCTCTGACCTGATATAAATAGGAAAGCAGCGGCTCAGAGGCCACCCTCCCTGCCCGAGAAGCATTCCTCATGAGTACAGGGCCAGTCGCAGGTGAATTGAGATGACTTCTCATTAGAAGGGCTTCAGGATAGGCAGTGTGTGTGTGGGGGGGGGGGGGTAAGATTGGGGTAGGGGGTGGTCTCCTGAGTCAAGACAAGCCACAAGTAGTTTTATAGGTTTAAAGGAACCGAGGCCTTCTGGAAGAAGGGCCAAAGGGAGGAAACAGAATATGGGGGAGATTAAAGAGATGAGCTTCCAGAGCCACACTGATTGGGTTCAAGTCCCGGTTCCTCCACTTACCATATATGTGACCTCTGGCAGGCCATTTAACATTTCCATGCCTCTGGGTCCCCATCTATAAGGTGGGATAACAACAGGAAGTGGGACAATAAGTGCAATGTCTGGCCCATATTAAGAGTTATATTATTGCCCTAGCTCAGTAGTCAGCAAACTGCGGCTTTGCGAGCCACATGCGGCTCTTTGGCCCATTGAGTGTGGTTCTGCGTTAGAACCACTTTTTTTCAAAATAGACTTGCCCAGGCCAAAAACTGACTTCTGCGCATGGGCCACGAAGTCTCAGTCACAATGTATGTGCGTGCCCGCACGTGGTATTTTGTAGAAGAGTCACACTCAAGGGGCCAAAGAGCCGCATGTGGCTTGTGAGCCGCGGTTTGCCAACCACTGCCCTAGCTAGTTTGGCTCAGTCAGTAAGTGTCAGCCTGCGTACTAAAAGGTTCCAGGTTTGATTCCTGTCAAGAGCACATGCCCAGGTTGCAGGCTTGATCCTCAGTGGGGGATGTGCAGGAGGCAGCCAATCAATGATGCTCTCATCATTGATGTTTCTATCTTGCTCTCCTTTCCTCTCTGAAATCAATAAAAATATATATTTTTTAAGAGTTATATTATTAAGGGAGCTCAGACATTAATTTTTTGACCTTTGAAAAATGTGCCCCAGACCTTGAGGATAGTTCACTCGGAAACGGGAAGCCGATTGCCACAGCTTGGATCCTAGAACCAGTATGTAACACTAAGAGAAGCTCATAACGTGGAATCTTTCTAATACCTCTTGACTCTGTCCTGGATTAGACTACCACGTGAGGGTTCATGGAACATATGTCCATCAGAAGACTAGAGGAAATAAGTTACCAGAAAGATCTCACACTGAGAGAATAAAGTACCCCCACTTCTTACCTTCCTAGAGAGTTCCCTTCTGTAGATATCACTTCTCTCTCCTCAGTTTCTCCCTCTTTTTTTTTTTTTTTTTTTTTTTTTCCACAGAGAGGAAGGGAGAGAGATAGAGAGCTAGAAACGTCTAAACATCGACCAGCTGCCTCTTGCACACCTCCTACTGGGGATGTGCCCGCAACCCAGGTACATGCCCTTGACCGGAATCGAACCTGGGACCTTTCAGTCCATAGACCGACGCTCTACCACTGAGCCAAACCGGTTTCGGCCAGTTTCTCCCTCTTGAAAGGATATTCTCATTAGCCTATAAAGATGCCCTAATATCCCTCATGTTAAACTTTTTTTTATTGCACATCCTCTTCCATTTCTCTGATCTCATTCAAAGCAATATTTCTTCAGAGATGTCTGTAGACACTTCTTTTTCCCTCCTGTTCATTCCTCAACACAGTCCATTAGCATTTCAGTCCCAATGGCTCTTCTAATGGTCCAGTAAACTCCACATTGCTTCATCTAGTGGTCACATTCTTGGTTTCTTAGCTGCATTTGGCCCAGTAGGACCACACTCTTCATGCTGATGTATCTTCTTGCCTCAGCTTCCATGGATCTCCTGGATCCAGGAAGCCTGGGTCTCTTCCTTCCTCTCCAGGTTTGTCAGCATGCCATGCCAGCAAGCCAGCTCTTGGGGTGTATGGTGTGCAGAGATTAGCTCATTTATCAGTTCTTTACAGTGGCCCGGGAAATGTGAAGACATTTCCGACTTTGATGACCATTAGGTTCATGAGGCTCATGGGAGTTGGTGAAGGTTGGGGTAGCCAAGGAGAAACTGGAGTGGTACAGGGATGATCTCTAGTTTGTCTCGTGCAGGCCTGAGAGCTCACAGCAGTCAGATGCTGACATTCATCTCTGGATTTTTATGGTCAACTAGCCTTTGTTATTCCTGTTTTATAAGGGAAGACAATGGGAGGGGGGAGGATATGGGGTTTATTAATCTTCTCAGTCAAGGTCATATAAGTAGACACAGTGGCCCATTAGGGCTTTTTGTAGAAGAAACTCCCGTTCTTCCCCACTCATGTCCTGCAGGATTCCCCAGAAAATAAAACTCAGTCTGTAGCACTTTCAAAGAAGCCAGTAATGGTCTTTACAAATTATAAGTGCCATGACCAGGTTTGCAGGACTAATTTATCCCAATACCAAAATGTCAAAGAGTTTCCCACCTCTTCTTGTTTGGAATCTGTATCTAGGGTGTCTGGTAAGGGATGGTTTTGTTTTTGTTTTACTATAATTAAAACAATATTTTATTGACATGAAAATAGATAAATAAATAACTGGGATTAAGTAAAAAGCTCAAAGAAATCTTGCTGTATGACATAGGTGGCATTTTAGGGTTTTTTTCTTTATTGATTAAGGTATTACATATGTGTTCTTACCCCGCCATCCCCCCCACTCATGCCCTTACCTTCCTGGTTAGGCTTATATGCATGGTAAGGGATGTTTTGAAGACAGTGATTTCATTACCCATTTAGGCAGTTTCAGGAGACATGATGTCCGTTCCTTCCTTCCTTCTATCTTTTTTTAAAATATGTTTTATTGATTTTTTACAGAGAGGAGGGGAGAGGGATAGAGAGTTAGAAACATCGATGAGAGAGAATCATCGATGAGCTGCCTCTTGCATACCCCCTACTAGGGATGTGTCCGCAACCAAGTTACATGCCCTTGACCAGAATTGAACCTGGGACCTTTCAATCCACAGGCCAGTGCTCTATCCACTGAGCCAAACCAGTTTTGGCTTCCTTCTATCTTATAACACAGAAATAAGTTATAAGATAGAAAGAACCATGTAGCCTTCCTCTGTGTGTTCATCCTCATCTCTTCCAATGTGTCTTTAGAAAGCTAATGAGAGGTGGAAGGTAGAGAAAAACAGAGTCAGACCATATCTGGGTATGAATCTGAGTTGTCGTGTATAGTAACCGGGTGATTTGCATAAGTGTATTAATAGTTATGTTCTCAAAGCCTCCGTTTCCTTATTTATAAAACGCAGATAATAAACATCATCTCCTGGAGTTTTTGTGAGGTTTAGAGTCAGTATTCATACGGTACTGGAGCATGTGTGTGGTCCATTCTCAGTAAGTAGTAGTGGTTATAATAATGTTCCCAGTAGGCTAGCCTTTCATGTAAATCCCTTCCTGTACAAAAAATAAAATAAAATAAAATAAATTAAAAATCTAGTGAATCACTTAGATCAATTAAGATGTTTTCAGCTATAAGCCACAGGAAATGCAACTGAGAATAGGTTAACAATAAGGAAGATGTATCATCTACTTAAGAAATCTAGAAGTCGCTTCAGGGATGGCTGATCCACAGCTTAACAATGTCACAGAGGCCGCACCTTCTTCTGTCTCTCTGATGCATCCTTAGCCTGTCTTCTTTGTCTTCAGAGAGTCTTCCTCCTGATTTCAAGACAATGTGCGCAGTCCTATGTGTCCCATGGAAACACAACCACATCCAATAGCTGAAGAGGACTGTCTTTTGGTATGTATGCCTTTTTAAGCAAGAAAATCTTTCTGAGATTCCTCCCAGTTGATTTTCATTGGCCAGAATTATCTCATGTGCTTATGTTTGATCAAGAAGATAATCACAACAACTGGTTGTTTAAATTAGGTTTTTATTCCTGAAACAGGAAGGATAGTTCTTGGATAAAGAACCAACCAGTGATCTGCTCCATTGTTTGTTTAGCAACATCAAAAGAGAGAGAGAGAGAGAGAGAGAGAGAGAGAGAGAGAGAGAGAGAGAGAGAGAGAGAGAGAGAGAGAGAGAGAGAGAGAAGGGTTTATTGAGCACCTATAATGTATGGGCTCAGGCTTTGGAGATACTGACATCATAATTTAATGTCAACCACTAAATTTAGAACCTAATGCGGGAGATCTTGACTCGCAGAGAAAAGGTGCTTGGGAATATCCTGTGAAGCAAGGAGCTAAAGGGCAAGGTGGAGGTGCCTGGATCAGGTTCATTCATGGCCAGGAAGCGGCTGTCTTGGAAGCAGAGCTTGCCAAAGAGGTGAGGGAGCTCCCCGAGCTTCAAGCTGGCACTCAGCTCCCAATTATGTTTCCAGAATTATTAGCTTTGATTCTGTGAGAAAGGAACACATCAAAGCCAGAATCCTATGAATTAAAATGTTGACTAATCGAGCTAATTATAGTTCAGTCATCTGAATTTTCACACAATGAGCCTGAGTCCTCATGAAAGCCTTCTCTTGGGCAGGAGGCTTTGATGATGAAGCAGCTATTTATGTCCCAGACCCAGTCGTACTCACTTTGGCCAGGAGTCCTCACTGGAGTGCCATTGCCTGCTCAAACCCCTATGGGCTCTCCCCCAAATTTCTTGAAAGCTGAAGCAAGCTCATTTGAGGCAGAGATTATAAAGGTTTTGGGAGCAAGATTCCCCTGCCTGGAGAAAGATTTAACCAGTGTCTTAGGATGTCATGATGGGATTCTTTTCATTTTCAATTTTATTCCAGATTTTAAAATACTTAAGTAATTTACATAGTCTAATTATACTTTAGGGAGAACCTTCTCACTTAACATGTCTCAGTTATCAGATGCAGAGTGGTATAATAAATTTTAATCACTGTTTGGATGTTCTTTGCTGCAGAGTTAATAATATAGACTAAACCTAAATCTTTGATGAGCTACTAAATACATTTTTTGGTTGTCACAATTGGTGAGGATGGATGCTATTGGTATCTAGTGTGTGAGGACAGGTATGCACAGTGTAGACCCCCACAACAAAGAATTATTTGACCCCAAATGTTAATAGCGCTGAGATTAAGGAATCCTCTGATAAAGGATAAAAGTTCATTCCACATTAGTCATCCATTCAGTGTGACAACATGTTTACTTAAACAGTGTCACCAAAGAAAAATTTGGGCAAACTCTTTTATTTTTAGCACTTCTGAAAGAGAGCTTGGAAAAAAGAAATGGATTAAATCTATGACAATCATAGTCTCAAATATTTTTTTAAAGTATATTTTATTGATTTTTAACAGAGAGGAAGGGAAAGGGATAGAGAATTAGAAACATCGATCAGCTGCCTCTTGCACACTCCCCACTGGGTATGTGCCTGCAACCAAGGTACATGCCCTTGACCAGAATCAAACCTGGGACCCTTGAGTCCATAGGCCAACACTCTGTCCACTGAGCCAAACTGGTTAGGGCTACAGTCTCAAATCTTATGGAGGATGATTAATTCCTCCTAGTCAATACCTTGCTCTTTAGGTAGCTGGCACTTGATAAATAACAATGATGTTTATGGATGTATAGGTCCGTCCACTGGTCAGCCATTCTTTCTATAAGGACAATTAAAGAAATAGTGTATAGAGCATGATACACTCAGTATATTTCTGTTCCCAAACTACTTTTTAAAAAATAAAGTTTAAATTTTGTTATAAATATTATACAAGAATTAACAAGGTTTAAAATCATGTAAGACCTAGGTACAAATTAAGCTTGATATTAAACTTAACTGTTATCAAATTGTGCCTAAATCAACTAAAGGAGCCTTAGCCTTTCCTCTTGCTTCCTAAATCTTTCCTATATTATATAGTGCATTTGGAGCTTTAAGTTAATTGGCCTTTTCAACACACTGTTAAGATGTTCTGTTCTGTCTTGTCCTGGAGAAAGATCACTTAGAAATTGTTTTAATGAACACATGCTCATAATTTAAAAAGTCAAATAGCATTAAAAGTCTAATGAAATTCAGCAGTTTCCTTCCTCATTTCTTGCTACTCCCCTTCGTCTTCTTGTTTCTTCTGGCATTTCTACATTGCCATATATTAAGTAATATACATGTGCTTTTGGTTCAGCAATTTTACATGTATAATATTATCATCCTTTTATGGTAAGTGAAGATTTAGCACTCTTTTCAGCTCTCCCTTTGTTTTAACTCTCTAATCCTTCCTACATAATGATATAATTTTTAAAAAAATATATTTTATTGATTTTACACAGAGAGGAATTGAGAGGGACAGAGAGTTAGAAACGTCGATGATAGAGAAACATCGACCAGCTGCCTCTTGCACACCCCCAACTGGGGATGTGCCCTCAACCAAGGTACATGCCCTTGACCGGAATCAAACCCGGGACCTTTCATTCTGCGGGCCGACGCTCTATCCACTGAGCCAAACCAGTCCCGGCGATATAACTTTTAATTAAGTTAATATTTGGTGCTTATATCATTATACACATGCAAAGAAAGTTACCTTTTGTTTTCCCTGATGTTAGTAATTGCCTTGTTGTTTTCACTGCTGACTACTTTAAACGTTTTCCTTTGCAGTCTTTGTGGTTAAAAGTATTATACTTGTGATCTAATTCATTTTTGTGGAGGCCAAGTCCTCAGCCTCTGAATGCGCTCTAACTCGTGACTCACTGAAAAGAGAGCCTAACGTCTAGGTGCAGCCCGTTTCCTGCCATCAGCTTTATCTTCCCCAAATGGGTCATTCTTCAGTCAGAAATTTTTGTCTCCATTAAAGAGTCTAACTTCAGCTAACCTTCCGTGCCACTTGCTAAGGGCCATGTAAAAATAAAGGCTTAAACCAGTCAGACATTTTAGATCAGTTATTAAGCAGCTAACATTGAGAGTCTTCAGAAGGTCTCAGGGACAGTTCTCAAATTTGGTAGCTTCTAGAAACTACTGGCGGGCAATGTTCACAGATGGCTGCCTCTAGGGTCAGTTTCCTCCTTTTTAGCTTTATGTTGTTGCTAGCTGCCCTTCAGGTTCAGGACCTTTGAGTTGCCTATTGCAAATAATCCTGGAATGTGAACAATCTAGGGTTTGTTTAGAATGGTATCCTCTTTGGCTTCTACTTTCACTGAGCACGGTCCATCATATCCCCAGGAGTTACTGCCCTCTTCCTTGTCCTTTCTTCAAGGATCTGTGCTGATATTCCGGTCCCCAAGGGTGAGTAGGTCTGTCATAGAAGATGAGAATTCCAATGTCAAGGAGAACAAAAGCTCATTAAAAATATTCATGGTTCAATTCACCCAGACAAAAAGCCTCACTGCAGAGGATCTCCATCTCAAGAGCTTCTCTCCTGGAGTACACTGGCCTCTCCAGATGCTGACAGCAGCTTCCTGACTTCGCTGATTCAGCCCTGACCGGCCTGCTCTTGGAGGATGCTTCATCATGTAAGCTTCCTGGTGATAACCGGCCTTAGCCCACTATGCCTGTCTATTCTCGTACCCTTTCTTAATGGAATTTCTGCCCATCCATAACTGAGCAGTTGTGGAAGTAAGTCTATGCTATAAAGCCTGGGAGCACCCAGATCTCTCCTCCAAATCCATGACCCCCGATTCTAACAGAAAGACATACACGGATGCTGAAAACTGGTGTAGTATCCTTTTCTTAAAGGCAGGCTTGGCTTTGTACTTCTGCATCTCTGCTCACTTCTCCACAGAGAACAAAGGAATTTTTGTGGAGGCAGACACAGCCCACATTCTTAGTTTACAGCATTTATTTTTAACCAGAACTACATTTAGGAATATATGAGCAACTATACTAGTAATAACAGGCGGAAGAAGAGAAGGCGTGTGTGTGGATTCATCTTTCTGGGTAGGTATGGCTCAAGTTAATATTTAAAATGGTCTCGAATTCTCTGAGCACACACTATCTGATGGGGGAGGTTGTGACGAGAGAGACAGGTGGCGGTGGGAAAGCTGACCTAGGATTAAAAATTAATTGTGCTCAATTTGGAAATTAGATCATTGTAGGCAGATGGATAGAGAGTTTAATATGATTTCGTATGTAACTTTTTCGAGGAGATTTAAAAATCTTATCCACCAACTAGGCAATTTATGAACTCACATTTCAGCTTTAATTCTACCTCATCACAAGTAGAATTATAGGGCTGGAAAAACTCCACCAATCATTCTCCCTTGGAAAGAACCACACCCGGAGCCAGCCAAGGCAACAGGGATCCCTAACACGTTTTTTTTGTTTTGTTTTGTTTTGTTTTTGTTTTGAGACTTCTAATTTCAGGTATTCTACAGCCAGTCTCCCATGGGAGCAAATTCTGGTGTTCTACTTTTCCATTCTGTTAGCCTCTGTTGTGTTTTCTTTTCCCCTGCTCCAGGCAGCTAGATAGACCAAGAAACCTTTACCTCCACCTTCATCAGCTTCAGTCTCAGCTTTAGCATCTTCAGGGGCCTGTGTTGCTGTTCCATGGGCTGTGAAGTGAGGCATGTTGGATCAGGGCACAGCCCTGGGCCAAAAGGGGAGAAGAGTAAACAGGGAGGGTCCTGCCCACTTAGGGTATAGGATCTGGGCCAGAAGGAACTAACCTGATTCTAGAGGCTGGCCCACAACAGAGCTTGATCGATTCAAGATACGGTGCCCGAAGGGGAAAGAAAGCCTGGGCAAATGACGGTCCTGGAGTGTCCTGTTTGGTTGGTGGTGTAAGGTAGGGAGAGATTCTGGGCAGCAGCAAGCATGCAGGAATTGGATCCAGCAGAGATGTGGTTCTGGAAGAGCTGAACATTCATGGAGGTTTCAGCAAGTGGATGAGGGCATAAAGAAGAGTACGCTTTCTTTCAGGGAAAGTACTGGCAAGCAGGCAAGGGTGTCAGGGCTGAATAAGCAGTCCAGGGGTCAGAATAATAGTCAAGTTCTGGAGGCAAGCTGGGCTCCCTTTTATTGGTCATTGCTGATGCAGCTCTCCTCATTCTGCCCACTCTATCAGGGTATCTTATTATGTCTTTGGAGTCACTGACCTCCTTGGTGATTTCCTACTTTAAATCTAGTCCAGACCTTTCCAGGACTCCAGGCCTTTATCCTGGACCCCTTAACATAACATGATCAAAGAAACACACAGCTTTCCCCACCTGCTTTTCTTCCTGTGTTCTTTATTTCAAGGAAAGGATTCATTCTTGATTCTTCCTGTTCTCACCATATTTAGTCTTTCATCAAATCCAATCGTATTTTCCTTCTAAATAGCTCCTAATTTTGTCCCCTTCTGTTTCACTGGCAAAATCTTAGTCCTGGTCACCATTGCGATTTCACCAGAATTTGCATTGTATAACCTCTTAAATGTTCTCCTTGCCTCTAGTCATGCATGTCCTTTGGCAACTCTTCCTCCTAAATGCATTTTGATTTTTATCTCTCTTCTACTTAAAATCTTCACTGCCCCCAGGATAAAATGCAGAACTCACCAGCTTAAAGACTCATGACCTGCACTGCCTACCTGTCCACCTCTTGCTTCTTCTTCCACATCCTCCTCCAGCCATATTGAATTCCTTAAGGTCCCTGAGGAAGCCTAGATTTCTGTGGATGCCACATCAGTATATATGGAGTTCTTCATATGAATAACTTTTACTCATCTTTTGGGGTTCAATTCAAAGTATCATCTTCTCTAGGACTCTTCTCTGGGCGGGTGCCCCTCTTACCTGTTCCCATAGCCTGAGTCTCCCTCTGGCCCTCATGCTTGTTTCCTGTGTGTCTTCCTGACTAGACTGTGAACACTTCCTGGCAGAAATCAGGTCTTTTCCACTGAGGAGCAGTGTGGCAGTGTGGAGACCATGGGTTCTGGAGACTGCCAGACCTGTGTTTGAAAACCAGACCTGTGTAAGACACATGCACAAGGTCTTTATTATGTCAGGATCTCTAAATCATGAACTGTAAATAATATTTCCTCATAAGTTGTTGTGAGGATTGAATGCGGTAATAATACAAAGCACTTGGCATTGAAATGGACACATTCAGGGGTAGGGAACCCTTTTTCTGCCAGGGGCCATTTGGATATTTATAACCCATTTGAGGGCCATTCAAAATTAGCCACTTAAAATTAGCCTGCTGTAATTTGCTCAAACATTTAATTAACTCACCCCTAGACCAAATGATTTTGTGGGCCTTATGCAGCCCGCGGGCTGGACATTTCTCACTCCTGTTAGGTGCTTAATAAATGTTGGAGGAAGGGAGTACAGGAAGAGAAGCTCCAAATAGGCTTGTAGGTTTGTGGTCAGTTCTGAGAGAAGCTTACGTAGGTCACCATGGCCTTGGCCATCTTAGCAGAGAGATGACAGAGTTGAATGGAGGTAAAGCCAGATTAAGTCTAGAGAGGAAATGCTAAGTGAACAGGAGCAAGGCAACACCCAGGACCCATGGAGAGCAAGACAAGAAAGATAGAAAGCGAATGTGGGTGGTCTCGATAAGACTGCATGCAGGGCCATTACTAAAGGCTGGCTCAAAGGGGCTGACTTGCCAAGTGCCCTAAGCTGGCATTGGACAATAGGAAGCACATTCTCACCTCTCCCTCTGGAGCAGGGGTCCTCAAACTTTTTAAAGTGGGGGCCAGATCACGGCCCCTCAGAGAGCTGGAGGGCCGGACTATATGAACTACTAATTCCTACTGTAACACCTCGGCTGCACTCACTGCCCAAAAAACCTGGCGGGCCGGATCAGACTCCTCTGAGGGCCGCATGTGGCCCGCGGGCCGTAGTTTGAAGACGCCTGCCTGGAGCTTTGAAAACATGCCTGCCTGGTCTCTACCTCCTTAGGTTTGGTTTCAAGTGCTCTAAAGTAGATCCAGGACTGGGCGTTTTCAAAGCTCTTCAGAGAATTCTGATGCAGGGAAGACTGAGAATCAACACTCTAGTATGAAGGCAGCCTTCCCAGAAGAGGGAAGAGGTGTGGCTTAAGTTGGCCTCTAGGCCCCTAGCCTGTTCCCCAATGTAAAACTGAGCGAATGGATGGTGGTAGGTGGGGGTGGCTGCTACTCTCTTACCTGCTTTGGTGAGATTGGCTTAGCACTAGAGCTGTCCCATCCACAGACCAAATGGCAGGGAACACCTGATCTCAAAATTCAGCCTGCTTCTCACCCCTTGCCAGTGGAGACCAGCTACTCTTTGAGAGGAGGGAGCTCCTTTGGGGAGTGACAGGTGGAGGAACGCATTTCCCTTCATATCCACTGCAACCGCAGGGGAAAGCTGATAGAGAACTGCTGCTCGCTTCTCCTGGGGAATAGCTCAGGGGTGGCAGCTTAGAGCTCATGGTCATTCTAAGAATGAAAGGAATTTATTTTAGATTAAAAAATAAAGATAAAAAAAGGAATCCCCAGCCAGCTGCAACACACTCTTAGTTTGAAGAAGTCATAAATAAGAATGAGAAGAAAAAAAAGGGGGGGGGGGCGGGGGAGGAAACGACTATTAAAAAATTAGAATCAGCTGATATTTATTTTGGGAAAAAAATGCCTACTATCTACTCTGAATTTCCACAATCTGTATATGTAAAAGGTAATCAGGCTAATGACACCCATTATAGTTCACAGGAATAGACTCATCAAGGAGTGGTATCAGGAAATGTCTTCAAGTAAAAGCCTGCCTTTATTTTATCATGCTGGTCCTCATTAGACCCTTCAAATATTTAGTCATGCAAACCAGATCAAAAGTCATTGATCATGAGCCTATGCAAGTCTCTGCTTGGAAATAAATAAATTAATTAAAAAAAGATGGCCCTAGATCAGTAAAATATAAAAGTGGCATCGCCTCTCCTCCACTTTCTTTTTCTTTTTTTTCTTTTTTTTAATATATTTTTTTTATTGATTTTTCACAGAGTGGAAGAGAGAGGGATAGAGAGTTAGAAACATCGACGAGAGAGAATCATCGATCAGCTGCCTCTTGCACACCCCCTAACGGGGATGTGCCAGCAACCAAGGTACATGCCCTTGCCCGGAATTGAACCCGGGACCTTTCAGTCCACAGGCCGACGCTCTATCCACTGAGCCAAACCGGTCCTGGTGTCTCCTCCACTTTCAATGCAGAGGCCTAGTCCAGGGAAGGAAGATGAAATTAAAAACAGGCAAGAAGCTTACCTGTTACTGACCTTGATGTGACGCCATCTCCCCAGCCCCACCCCACCCCACCCTCATCACACTTCACCTAAATACACCTACATATCCACCAATTATACTTATCACCTTATTGTAAAATTAGTGCTGTAAAAAACTAAAGCTTTTGTGTCAGCAAAGTTTTTCCTCCCTCCCTACCCCCAACCCCTTAAAATAAAAATAAAATCAGGAAATTTTGTAAAGTGGCTCATAATCTTCCTGGAACATACCTAATTGTAGAAAGACCTGAAACTAAAGGGACTTCCATTCCCAGTGGGCAGAGACTCGACACGGGCTATTTTAGTTCAATCATCTCTTCCTTTTTGGAAATTAACAGCTCAAGTCTCTATTGATTTAACATGCTGTCCCTGTGATGCAGTGGGGACTTCACACAAGTAATGAGGACAGAACG